ATATTAAACTATAAATACATTATTCAATTTTCTCAACCTATCAAGCCCACTCTTCTGATTAGAATTCGTCCTAGGGTCATGAGCTTGAACTAACCTCAACTGTTCTCGTATCCACATTAACAATGAGTGAGCAACACTCCCATCGGAAAGTTGGGTTATTATGTGATATAGGTATTGATGTAGGGCCGGATGTAGCGGAGCCACATGCTTTAGAGGCAGCTCCAGATCCGGAGGGTACAGCGTCGAGCTGCCCAGCACCGCCGCCAACTGGATATATGTCGTCAGTCGGTTGCTCGCTGAGATTCGAAGATGAATCCAATTGTACAAGACTAGGAGCAAAGTCACGCCAACGACGCAGTTCAGCTTCTAATCGAGGCAAAAAAAGCTCGGGCGCTTCGAGGGTTGCCTGCAACGCAAGACCACTTGTAAAATGATCTAGCACACCGGGACCGATTTGGCAATGGTTGGTGGAGCCTGGCTGAGACAACTGCTGTAAAAACGAATTTCCAGGGCCGTAAATATGGGAAGAAAATTGCTGATTATGACCTTGAGAACACGATACAGAGGAAACCTCATCACCTGAAGTCGAGCTGCTGCGAGATGAAATTGAGTTCAAGGAGGCCGGCAGAGGTTGAAGGCACGAGCCTGATGGAGAAATAGCCCCGGTAGAAAGAAAGAGGGCAGCTGAACTAGAATTGCCAACATTAACAGAGCTTTCATTGCAAGTGGTACTTCCTATGCGACCAAGAGAATTTCCATTACGCCCATTTGAGCAACTGGATCCACAAGTCTGGAGCTGCATGTCGTCACTGATACACCAGCACAGCTCCTCTGGCTCACCAAAGTTTTTTCTGCCATCAGGTGGAAAATATGTTGAGTATAGTCGCAATCAATGTTAAAAAAAAGTATATACTGATTATTCAGATCTTAATCAGGCAAAAGAGTTTGCGTATGGCCGACGTAAATCACCCACATCTAGACTAAGAAAGGATAAGAGAAATGTTAGTTAAGAACAATTATCGATTAGGACTAATCATTAATAACTTCGAAATACTAATAATTATAAGAGAAAACATTATTTAGGACAAAATGGCGAATGAGACAACGCTTGATCAGTTTCTTGATGCTACTTTTCTGCCAGCTTCCGAAAAAAGAATTAACGAGGAAACTAAACGTGAATAACAAAACTTTGCACAGTAATGTATCCTATTAGGGAATCTTCATATCCACTGTGCAGATTAGATTGTCTTTTCGTGCTCATGTAATAGCGTTCATATGGGAGAGATTTGTCGACCTATATAGAAGAGGTTATCAAAATATAAAACCGCCTGCAAGGGTTTATTGGCTTAGAGAACAATGGCTAAACATATTAACATTGCACTGTCGCGGATCGACTCTTGCTGAGGGTGTTGATAATACCGATGATAGATCGAAACTGCAGTCCACCCTGGATGAGAACAACTTTTGGGAAATTCAATGGAAACGTC